AGATTTCGGATGTCGCAAGGCGAAACACACTGACTCAACTTCTATGACTTTAGAAGAAAAATCAAAGTTCTCCTTTCAAATTTCAAATAATATTGAGTAGGTAACTACGTAATATTTTGTATAATCCAATCACAAGATTGAGAATATTAACCCTAAATGCTTTTAAACTAAGCTTACTTAAAGTGTTCAACTAGAATTTGTATCAAATCTTTCATATCTCCATCAAACGATCAAAGTACAAAAACTTTCATAAAATTTGACAACCACTCGTCCGAAGAAAAGGGAAAATAAAAGAAGCACAAGGAAAATGTACCTTAACCAAACGGAACAAGAATGATAATCCTAAATCGTTAGCTCGAAACAAACTTTATGATATTGTACCTATTTAGTTACTTCAATTAAAACATGATCTCAGTCTTGAGATAAAAATAATACTTAAGCCTTGGGGCATAGGGAAGAGTTTTGATTGTGTTTTATTAAGATTGATGTTTCCTTTTTAATGGGTGCTGTTAGGTTCACGCTGAGTGAACATTTATCCATTTATGCACTCAACAAAACGATCCTGTACGGAACCCAATTTATACGAGGATACGTATTGGTATTTATTTATGTAGAACTTATATTCAGGGAAAAAAATATTAAATCCTACATATGTAGTTATTAAACAAAAAACGATCAATGAGTTCAAACTGACAAAACCTTTGACTTTGACCATCCTTAAAATTGAATTTGTGGCCTCATCTGCAGAAGGAGTAAAAACTAGTCTATGAAGTATTCCAGATCATAATCTATCTCTGTGCTAAATTTCGTTCAGATCCGATCAGGAGTGCTCATTAACGGCAATGAGTAATAAAGATCTATCGATACTTGCAAACATTCACGGATTTTCACAAAACAATTTCTAAATATGATAAATTCTACACTTGTTTTTCTGTATACGAATCTATATTTCAGAACACTGCGAGCTTCAGCTAAATGATAGACAGACAGACAGACAGACAGACAATTCCATTTTTGACGATTCTAAAAATTGCATCTGAATTCCGTATCAAAAAACAACCACGTCACAACGAAGAACATACATCTGAAAGAAAAAAACAGAATTTAATACTTACAAATTAATGTTCACCAAAATAATCCCCATTTAAATGACAGATTCTTCTCATAAAATGTGACTGTAATCTGTCATAATTAGGCTACTGACAAGTTTTAGAGCACTCAACGAAATGGCTCTAAGTATATAACGCTAGGTATTTATATGTTTCAGTACTGGTAAAACTAGGAACTGCTAAATTGAACTTAGGTGTTGTAGGAACAAAGTTGTAATTGTGTTGATTAGCCTTTAATCGTTTATTGTAAGCAATTACTAAATTCAATGTAAGAAAATGTAATTAGATTTTTATTTTGTTTGCTTTGTGTGTGTTTTTTAACGTTTTCAAATTAATACGAATTCAAAATCGACCAATACTATTGACTTAGGGCTAATTTTTCAATAGTCAGATAAATGTTACCTGAGGAATAAAATTATTGCTGTCACTGTCTTATACAAACATTCTGACGCGACAGCATCATAATTATTCCCCAGGTAACTTTTATCTAAGCATAGAAAAATCAGCCCTTAATGTGTATACAAGACTATTTTTCACTTTAAATAAAATAGTAATAACTTTAAATAAAACACAACAACTAATGGTATCTGAATACTATTCTAATTCAAGTTATTTATCATATTTTATATTCAGGTTTTAGGTATACATACGTATAGTTTTAGTTTACCTTCGTAAAACCTACCTAAGTAAAACTTCTAGATGTGTATAGACACTTGCCAACCTTCGTAACAGGGGAGAATCCCGACATTGATGATCCCATTGGAGAAGGAGCGTAAGCGCACCACAATGGAAGCGCATCGTTTCCACATGATCCCATAAAACTAAACTGTAATCGAACCAAACCAACACCCCCTCTTTCATGATCACAATACCTATGTGGTAGGCATATGTCCACTAGAGCTGTTGATTAACCTTGTACATAACCAAAGCTAAACGGTGTACATAGGAATATAGGCTTAATTGCTCCGACGCTAAGGTCTAATCTCTTGACCCTCAATCGAGTTAGCGGTCGAGTGGCAAGCTAATGCAATTTCGTGCATACATTAAGGCAGTATACACTAATGGAGTGCTGGTACTAAGATAATCAAGTTTTGGACCCCTGATGACTGGGGTATTGGCTGATGATTGTCATTTGGAAGCGCTATACAGTTGGATGCTTGGGCCACACTAATCGGAAATGCCAATAATTATCGCCATAATTGATGACACCAAACAAGAAAAATATCTTAAGTCATTTGCTTAATGATCAAATTACACCTACGATTAACGTCTAAAATCACGGTATTTCCGAAACGATACGACCTTCAAGTATTCATAACAGGCTGACAACCTGATCTGCAAATGAATGGTCCTGATCACTTACCATTAAGAGGGATATCTTCTTTGACTTAAGAATCCCACCGGAAACCTTTTGCATCACAGTCGCACTGAAGACGTTATAATCGCCAATAAGTAATGAATTGACTACACTAATATTTAAATCCTAAAATCACGAAATTGTATCGAAACCAGGAAGTAATCCAAGCTTTGAATCTTCTATAACCTTTAATTGAAAACCTTTTTGGAATTCGTCCATTTCATATTCAACGGACAACAGATTATACCACAAAAGTTGCCGCGCTCTATTATTTCATTCGTCGGTCTTTCATTCACTATTCTGTTTGAGCTGCACGTTCATTCAATCTAAATATTTTCAGTAAACTAAGCTATTTGAAATGGAATGTTAGAGATTTTTTCAGGACTTAAAATATATATTGGTTTACTTTTATTCAGTTTCCAATGATAAATCTCTCCTGCTCCCATAAAGCGACATCTATAGTTATATTATAAAGGTTTGCTAGTTTGTTTGCTTGAACGTGCTATTCTCCGAAAGCACTGGCACAAAATTTTTGTAGCATAGTTTATTTATCGAAGCAAGCTAATAGGTCTTTACCTATGAAATTGCCGTTTTGCATGAAAACATTTAAACGATTTTTTTGATTTGAAATGCGATGAAAATATCAATAAACAAATGACTACTTTTGGAAAAAGATTCCCATGTTTTTAAAACAAAATTAATTAGCCTTAGCCAAACAAAAACTATATTGATTTGAAATGGCCAATTTCATAGGTAAATACCTATTATAAGCAACATCATGAAACGACTAATAGGAACCGAGCAGCGGGTGTAACCGCGAGAGTAACTAGTGTATTATAATTTAACAGACTGTTATGAAATGACGGACGGACGTGGTATGGCGGATTTTTCAATTACGATTACTATGTCGATCTCGAAACATCATAAAGCGACGAACAAACGGATCAGACAGAAAGCCGTTGGATACTCGTAACAAAAAACGTTACTGTTGTCATTAAAGGGGTTTGGGATTCGAGGATTAAAGAAATAGGGGACTGCAATATAATAAGCGTGGAAGAACCATGCTAAGTGTGGAAGAGCCATGCTTCGGCACGAATGGGTCGACTCGACCGGAATGATACCACGGCCTCACAGAAAACCGGTGTGAAATAACCAAAGAGTTGTGTTTCGCCGTGTGAGTTAGGTTACCGGAGGCCCAATCTTTCCCCTACCCCAATCCGTTCCCTTTCCCAAAATCTCCAAATCCCTAATCCCTAAAGGTCGACAACGCACTCGTAACTCCTCCGTCGTTGCGGGTGTCCATGGGCGATGCTGATTGCTTACCATCAGGTAATCCGTTTGCTCGTTTGCCGACCTATCACATAAAAAAAACATTCTAAAATCAAAGATCTTTTTACATGATCGCCGATTATTTAAATATACATTTATATAGCGCAGAAAACTAATTGTAAGTGTAAAAAATTTATAATAATATTCCAGGATGAAATATGCCATATATATCCAGAATATATAATAAATCTATCTCTGTACCTCATAGAAAGTAAAAGAGAAAAAATGTACTCAACCAATATTAATTATTCAATTCCGTTTGCAACTCTAATTTATTCAGCGTTGTGTTTCGCCGTGTGATCCGAGGTTACCGGAGGCCCAATCCTTCCCCTTCCCTAATCCCTCCCCAGTTCCTAAATCTCCAAATCCCTAATCCCTAAAAGGTCGGCAACGCACTCGTAACTCCTCCGTTGCGGGTGTCCATGGGCGGCGCTGATTGCTTACCATCAGGTAATCCGGATGCTCGTTTGCCGACCTATTACATTAAAAAAAAAGTAATTGCAACTCACACATATTTACTTAAATAGAGGAACTCTGACATTCACTTTTTACAAAGGTATCGTTCAATAAAACTGTCTATTTGATTATGTATACTATATATACCTCAGTAGAATCCACTTTTGCTTATTCCTACAGGGAATACAGCTCTATCATATTATATCTCCAACGTGTACAAGTTTTTCTGCGTACGCCATGATAACAACGCGATTATTTAAATGAGCGGAGATAAAGAAAGCGTACAGATTTATATTACGTCTAGGGAATTGAGCGTACTTTTGTTTTGCTTTGTTTTTATATTACTGTAGTACGATGAATAGGTGTTCTTCTTATTAAAAAAAATATGCTTGGAAAGGTTTTTATCCATATTTTTCTGGAATTAGGTGCAGTGCACCTAACTGATAATCTGATGATAACATATCAGCTGTATCCCTAGAAACTTTCACTCATTCTTTTATCGACACATTTGCTTTTTAAAAAGGAGTTCTCTTATTTTTTTAAGATTATTTCTAATATTAGTTAAGGTTCGGAAATACCACCGCCGAAAGATCATACCAAGTTTTACTGTGCATAGGCATAGGCATATGCAGAAAGTTTCCCGAAAATCGCACAATCGTTTCGCGGGTTCGATTCATCTGATGTGTACGTTTATTATTGGACCTGGAGAAAATCCTAGTGGTTAAGAAAACTAGAAAATTATTACTTACATGTGAATGTAGAATACAGACTGCGCACAATAGGAACACACAACAGAAGAGTGTGACACAGAGAGCTGACACGAACAGCGCATGTTTTAATCTCACGCAGTATCTTCTGTACAGCGCTTCCAACTCCAACTCAGTGCCCTCCTCCTCTGTGGACAGAAGAAGGAAATTAAATTACTAATTGTTAATAAAGTCTTTATTAAATTCCCAAAATACTGTTTTAGGTAAGCCCGAGATTTTCTTCAAATCAAAAGAAGAATATACGTAAACGAAGTTCATTTTTGTCCATATAATATAATTCTTCTGTATGTGTTTGAGGACAAACATTCATTGTCTTCTACATCTTTGGGTGACGAGAGGGAGTGCTAGACTCTTACTGATTTAAAGCTGACTTTTGATTGACTGCACGGTTGGTGCAGTGACTGTGCAACTGGCTGCTGTTCAACGTGTCACGGGTTCGATTCCCGCACGGAACAACACTTTGTGTGATCCACAAATTGTTGTTTGGGGCCTGGATGTGTTGTGTAAAAAAAGACGGCCTTCTTCCAACTCCTGCTATGTGTAATGGCATTACGCTTGTCCCAAAACCCCGACCGTGATTCTTTTGAATTGCAACTACTTAATGTTAATTTCTATCGTATCGTGACATTTTCCGTACCCAGAACTATTAATTAACCGTTCAAATACCGTTTTATTATGTATCTAGTAACATTAAACTGAAAAAATATCCACAAACAGTCATTGATTGTTAATTTTCCGACTAAATGTTAACCGCACAAATTTTGTGCTTATTCAAGCTATTTTTTTACACAAGATTGGTTCTATAAATATGCAACCACTCCGGCATCGCAGTTAATCATGGGAGAATTAAAAACGGTTGAACTGCATCGCAGTGCAGGGTACAATCTCAACAACAATGCTCTTTGTTGTCATTGCCAGTGAGTTGCCAGTGAGTGGCATACAAAAGTCTATGCGCGGCGTTTGATCGGTTCTCTGATGTTTTGGTTGGCAACTGGCAGCCATTCAGTCTGTTTAACGTGACATTGCATTAGTTTTTCTATTAACTATATACGCAGAACCCGTAGAATACCAGTGTTTGATTTCTTGTAACCAATTTGCGGCTCGCCCTAGCTCTTCTTAAGATTAATTGATGTTCCCGGTGAACGTAACCAATTTTTTCTTTTTTATAAAACTGGACGAAGACAAATACAATCAAAAATCGTTAACACATTTTGGTAGATTATTTTATTATTTATATATTTTGCTTTTTTAAGTGTAAAACAGCCAAGCTTCGGCACGAATGGGTCGGCTCGACCGGAGTGATACCACGACCTCACAGAATGGCGGCGGCGTGAAACAAACACAGCGTTGTGTTTATTGGCCCAATCCCTCCCCCTTCCTTATTCCTTTCCAATCTTTATATACGCAACCATTATCCCCAAAGGGCCGGCAACGCACTCGTAACTCCTTTGGTGTTGCGGATACCCATGGACGGCGCTGATTGCTTACCATCAGGTAATCCACCTGCTCATTTGCCGATTTATACCATTAAAAAAATACGAAGACCAATATTGGTATGCTTTAACTGAAAAGGAGCATAGTAAATCAAATTGACATAATAATAAACTATGGAAAAGAGTAAAAGCAATGTTCTAAGTGCTTCGTTATTTATTATGATATTTTGTTTTTTTCATAAATGACACGTTTAGCTGTTAAAACACAAACACAATTACACAGAAATACGACTTATTTCAAAAAACCCAAAGTGTATCAAAGTGAATATGTAAAAAAAAAACATTTCATCAAAATAATCCTGTAAAAAGCAGTAAATTCAAATAATTCGTTTACAGACACACTACCATTACATTCCTGATAAAAACATACGCAGATAGGAATGCGGCTTTTGTGTAATTATTTATTTTATGTTCATGAAATAAAATGCGTTTGGTATTATTTTGTATTGTGTTTTTTCCTGTAATTTTTGTACTTATTACAAAATGAATATTAAATATTTAGTTTTTTATGCTTTGCAATCATGCGTAATGTACATGCAGCAAAGGACTCCTGTGCATGATCGCATGTTGCAACAAGCCCGGATTTTTGTCGCGGAATAAAACTAACTTTTAAGTGTGGGAGAGCCATGCTTCGGCACTAATGGGTCGGCTCGACCGGAGTGATACCACGGCCTCACAGAAAACCGGCGTGAAATAACCACTGCGTTGTGTTTCGCCGTGTGAGTGAGGTTACCGGAGGCCCAATCCTTCCCCTTCCCCAATCCCTCCTCAATCCCTAAATCTCCAAATCCCTAATCCCTAAAAGGTCGGCAACGCACTCGTAACTCCTCCGTTGCGAGTGTCCATGGGCGGCGCTGATTGCTTACCATCAGGTAATCCGTCTGCTCGTTTGCCGACCTATTACATAAAAAAAAGCATTTTTCATAATATTTAAAATGTCTGGAATCCCTAATTCCGTAAATTATAAACTGAACAACTTTACGCAATTACCAACATTGTTATTACTATACGCGCTTTTCTACGAAATATCTAACCCAATTTTAATATTATGTAATAGCACCAATTTCTAGTATTTAACATTTCAAGGAAACAAATAAAATTTCCAATGTAATTGAGACTGATCGAAATATCTTCTAAGTGTAGGAGAGCCTTGCTTCGGCATGCATGGTTCGGCTCGACCGGAGTGATACCACGGCCTCACAGAAAACTAGCGTGAAATAACCACAGAATTGTGTTCGCCGTGTGAGTGAGGTTATCGTAGGCCCGATCCTTCCCCTTCCCCAATCCCTCCCCAGTCCCTAAATCTCCCAATCCCTAATCCCAAAAAGGTCGCAACGCACTTGTAACTCCTCCGTTGATTGCTTACTATCAGGTTAGCCGTATGCTCGTTTAGCGACCTATTACATAAAAAAAACTTACTAGAAACTGATTGAAATAAAATAACTTCAGAGTTTCTTGTTCGTTGTTCTCCATAGAAATCTTCACATTAGAAAGCATAGCTTCACTGAAGGGCTGAATTAATATTCTACTAATTATTCTGTTTAACGTCCATAAGTGCCTGAAATAGTCAAATTACTTTATAATGACTTTGAACACAATAATATATGATTACAACTGACTTGCTTAAAACTCATAAAAATTACAACTATCGTATATATAATCATATGTTACAATTTCAAACCCAAATTATTATTATACTTACAATCCGACTACTTCAAAAGCTAACTCATATACTCATAATATATACAAACTCTACGTTACAATTAACCAGCCGTTTTATCGATTTGTTTCAGCTTTGTTCTTTTACTTAGAACTATCATTAGTTTAAATTTATATCAAACTAAATATGTAGTTGGTTATCTTATTCAGTTCTTGTTAACTTTTAAGGAAAAGTATTTGTGAAGCGGTTGCCTTTGATGTGAAGACTTTTTTTATTTCCTCGTAGATCATTTAGTAAAACCGACTGGCAAGTATCTGTTTAAATGGTACATTTCGGATATTTTTTCTAGCACCAAATCTATAAAAAATTTTTTTTTCGTCTTTAGAAAGTCAATAAACATCTTCTGTCGTCCAGAGGGAGTGACAGACAGACTCTAATTGACTAAAAACCACCCCGTCCCTTCTCATGTTTCGGATCGAGGGCACGGTGCCTTATTGCGCTTACCCCGCAAACCCGGCTATCATAATCAGCCTATAAGTACCCACTGCTATTTTGTATGGTATAAGTCGGCAAACGAGCAGACAGATTACCTGATGGTAAGCAATCGGCGTCGCCCATGGACACCCGCAACACCAAAGGAGTTGCAAGTGCGTTGCCGGCCTTTTGGGGATAGGGGTTGCGGATATAAGGATCGGGAAGGGAAGGGATTGGGCCTCCGGTAACCTCACTCACACGGCGAAACACAACACTGTGGGCTGTTTCACGTCGGTATTCTGTGAGGTCGTGGTATTACTCCGGTCAAGCCGACCCACTCGTGCCGAAGCTAGGCTCCCACACTGCTAAGCAAATGCCTCGTCTATATGTTCAAGAAGTAACAAATTATAACCTGATAAATGGTAATTAATTACTGATACAACACAAGTACCACGGGAAACATTTCGTTACGTAATCTACAATTATGTACGTTGCTAATTAAAATCATTAATTTGACAATGAACCCCGCGATATAGAACTTCGAACTGACATAATTTGCGATGTTTGTAAGTGAAACGTGTTAACAATAATATTTCCTACATCATATTATTGTTACATAAGCTTGATAGGAACTTAAATATTCAATAGATTGCAAAAGAGGGCTATGTGGTTGTCAAATAGATTAAGGTAAGATGGTTGGTAGTGGTCTGATGCGAACAACTGAAGATCCAGGTCAGTCAGTGGCTTATTCTAGCCTTTAGCTCTTCTACAACTTTAATTTTTCAGCTACTTTTCAAAAGTAACCAGATTTTTTGGAAAAATGACGGTTGATTTTACATTTTCGCAACTAAATTAGTGTTATTCTAGTTGATGTGAATATGAAAAGTCTATAGTTGTGTACTTGTAGCGTAGACGTTACGATACTTACATACCTAACTTTAAGCATGATGACATACGCCACAGACAACACCGCGGGCCCATAGGTATACAAATATAATATACTTGCCGACGCCAAAAGGCTTGTGAACCGCAGGTTGGAAAACACTATTAAAGAATAAGCCTATGATCTGCAGCAAATGAAAATAAACATATCACAAGTAAAGTAATGAAGATAGATAGATAGGTGTCAATATGGCAATATTCTAACACACTCCATTTTAAAAACTGCGCTCTAAAAATTTTAGTAGTAAATCAATTACTATCTATACTTTGGGTCATTCTAGGCGAACTGTAAACAACCGACAATTCAATAATAATTATTTTAAAATAAATAAAAATAAAAAGATATTTCGATTTAAGTTTTTTCAAAAGAATGTTAACATCATTTTTTGCCACAGACAGGTTTGACTACAAAAGCCCGTTTTGTTCAAAATAAAGGTTTCAGCTACGCCTGGGGCGTCATTAGAACAAATATAATTATAGTTAAAACGATATTCACATTTCTGTATATTACTGACCTGTAAAGTATAGCTGACTGTCGTACTCAGAGATATTTTATTTCTCATAATACAATAGTAATTACGTATCTAATGAATAGTTTAATAGATTTTTTTGTCTAAATTACTTTTATAATCTGTTCATTAGCAACATTTTGTTCCGAAAACTAATTGCGTATATTATGACTGTAAGTTGGCCTGGAGATTAAGGACCCCGATTCTCATGCACGGGGGTGCAAAACCTGGCAAGTAGCAATTAAGTGAGTTTGACCGAGTTTTGTAAGTACTTTCTACAATAATTATTTAGATACCACTGACATACGGTGAAGGAAAACATCGTGAGAAAACCTAGACTTAGGTGATATTTAATTATAAGTTTTAAATCGACAATTCACTATGAGCAAGCGTGATGGTTTTAATACTCAAACTTTCTCTGTGTGAGAAGAGGCCTTTGCTCAGTAGTGGACACTAATAAACTGATGATGATGATGATTTGACTGCGTATGGTAATAAGACTTTAAAAACCTTTACAACAAAATATCAATAAATTCTAAGTAGGTACGATAACACAAAACATTAAGAAACTTCAAGAAAACCAACTTGAATAATAATTACATGAACAGCTAAGATTTCCTCAAAGGGTCCATAAATTTTGTCACCACAGACCGAACTAATTATTTTCTGACCACCAACAAATCTTTGGTAGTGTAAATATTTAATGATTTATTTATCTGTGGAACTGATAAGTAATGGAACATCTCTATACATATATGGGACTTTGCTGGTAGACTACTCGCCACGGGTTTGGATAAGACACCCGAGATGCTTAAAATAGTCATACTGCTGCATCTGATAGGTGAGAAAGGATTAAATATTAGTTATTTATGCCTTCGAAATTGTAAACAAAGATAATTTCAATATACTTGCCGAAAATAAAGTTGAAATGTACAAAGGAATTTCAATATGATTAGTTTTGTTTCTCAAAATTTTAAAGTGGAATATTCTTTGAAATCATTCCTTAGACTTGGGGAAAGGTGCCGTATACTTCTCAATTACAGGATTTATGTTAGGTAATGAACAGGTCTGAGGTATTTTAAACATTATAATAAATTGTTACAAATAATATCCATAGTTTTCTTTCCAGAAACTATCGCCTTTCACAGTCAAAACATGTTTGAAAAAACATAGTATTAAGGTCGAGAAAGTCATTTGATAACAATTAGCCTAATTTGCCAGTAATCTGAAGACAGACTTAAAAAATTACGGTCGCTTTGTCCGGATAAAATTAGGTCAGGATCTTACCGTGTCGTGGCAAAAGATTTTTTTACGATTGAGCCCGGTTTTTTATCTTGACACCACAAAGAACTGCATCTAATTTGTTAATTCAAAGTTATCATGCTTGCAATTACAAGTATTTTTTGTGATTACCAATCTGATTTCTTTTAAAACATCTGTAAAGTAAATTCAATAACTAATCAAAATTTTTTTTATTGAGTTTTATAAACCTGTACCTAGCTTATATGCAAAATCCTTTACCCAATCTACAAAAATAATAAAGATCAATGAGAATACATTATAACAAAAAATGAATAAAATAGACATATACATAATATTATTTAAATGTTACTAAATGTGACTTTTAATACTAAGTATAAGTACTTACAAAGATAGTTTACGTTAACTAGCCCGAGTGACGTGCGTTTGACAGTTTAAACTCATACTCGTATCACCAAAAAGGTTAGATATATTTTTTGCGGTAGCCCAACTATTCTAATGGTGTTTCTAAAGTTATTCGAGGTTTTTGTTGCTGACCCTTAACCTTAAAGTTTGAACTTAAATCGTAGTGACAGTGGAGCTATTTTGTAATGTTTTTTTTTTCTTAATTTTCTTATATAATAAAGAGGAATGTGAGTGAGACATACTAAATTTATTTACAATAACGACTAAATCACGTATAATAACTGAGATAGGCTCTACTAGTTTCAAACTTATAATTTCCCCGTCACTTAGACGCTCACTTCAAACTAGAACAAGATTCAAAATCTAACAAATTTTATAGAATCGACGTGCTAAGCAAAAAATCACAGGTTGGTTTTCAGTAAGAAATAGTCTGAAACTCCTGCTCACCGCAGCCAAGACGAGAAGAAGAAAAAGAGCAGAAGATTGGAAGAAAAATGACTTAAGTAGCTTATATAAATTTTCATTCCAATCACATTTAAAGAACTCCCTAACAACAATCTTAGCACAGAGCTAAAGCTAGTATTAAAGATAAACAGAAATCGTCTCAAATTGACCGCTAAGTCAATATTGAGTTAGTTGAACAATTGACCTCTTTTAAAAGGTCCCGCGAATAAGGACGGGACATCTGCGCTTCTTGACTTTATGCCGATGTTTTGTAATGCTATGTTCAGTGAATAGGAATAAAGTTCTATCACAAATCTTGGTTTAGTTTCAACAAATATCGTTTACTTCGTTATATGTAAAATATTCTTGTTTATTAGCTAAACGGATTACGTACTGTTAGGGTAAATGTTCTGTTTTTCTTTGTGAAGGGATTGATTAAACATAAGTCTTGTCCCGCCTTTGATGGTTCGAGAGGCAGTTTCAGACTCTTACTGACTAGAAACCACTCCGTTTCTTTTCCTGCTCCGGGCCGCGACATTTAACTGCACTTCTTGAACCGCCAACTCCAAAAATTGTGTACTGTGTACTTCCATTTCCTCACTTTGTGCGCTGTTCTTTATTATTACTGTCCTCATAAGTATCACATTTACATTGATCCTCATATCTATGTCATAGCTACGAGACCAAATCCAAGCAACTGTTAGTTTAATTATTTATTATTTTAGTCAACTTTTTATAAAATGTACTGTAGTCCTACTTCAGCTTGAAATATACAAAAGTTCCACACGAAAGCAGTTAAGAGTAGCAACTCTCGAATATCCCAAAAGATTAAGAGAGCATGCACCTTATCTTGTAACTACAACTAAGTTGCCGTCACAAATTGCCCCACGGTCGCATTGTCAGCGATTCAGACCGACCCACGGTCGTTATGTTCCAATACTTTTATAGGAATCCGATCTGGGGATGCACTTAGCTCCGGCAAATGAAGCCGTTTATATGCGTTAGCCTAGGCACTCTTTCGACCTAGAAACCAGATATGGCAACGAAAGAATTGTACAAGAAAATTGCGCATCCTAGTTGGCAGAACCGTTATTAGTAGACATTGGATTTAGAATCTAAGTTTTGTAGTGATGGTATTAAAAGATAAATATGATATGCTATGATTCTATTATACATCATTTTTTTTCTTTTTTTTTAGAAAGCGTTGCCCCCACAATAGGATCTTCACCTGTGTCGTGGGTGTGGTTACAAACATACAATTCACATAAACATGACACCCAGACCCGGAACAACAATTTGTGGAAAGTTGTTCCGTACGAGAATCGAACCCGCGACACAGTCAAACATTAGCCTGGATATAAACGCACTGCTAAACAAAGGCCTCTTCTCACCCGGAGAAGTTATAAGCATTAATCTAATCACCACTCTTGCTTAAGGCGTTTGGCGAATGATAAGAAATAATGATAAGAAATTATAAGTCAAGGTTTCCT